GGGGGGGAACAATAACAGGTCATGGAAATTAAGTTTCACTATGTATAAATACTGTACATGGTTTAAAAGATCCCGGGATTTCCAAAAGTCTCAGCTTCCACTTTGTGTGTAACCTTATGACAGTTCTAACCAGCTGTAAAGCAGATTTAACATACCATTCCTACAAATACAAAATGCATACCCCACAAATACTACCAGTGTTGAAGGAGCTAAAAGGTTTTGAACTTTTCAACAGCTTTCCAACCATTTTGTCCCATGCAAATGACTCAAATTCTCAGGCAGGCCCCAGGAAGTAAAGCACAAGAAACTATATTTACTTAAAGATTCAGTCTAATTCCCTGTAGTAAATCACAGGAAATAATTTAGTTCCAAAGCAGCCTCTCCTCAGTCCTCAAACAGTTAAGTTTTGGTGGATTTGCATTTTAAAACTGAATTTTTTTAAGCTAAAAGTCATAGTAAAATTTCTCCTTTTTATGAATGTTTAAAACAAGCAAGTTTTTCAGATCTGAGAGTGAAACTTAGTTTTAACAAGTAACTCATTTTTATGAAAACTCCAACCAGAAGACTAGCTATGAGTTAGAAACACTTCAGGTTGTTTCTTTTCTTCTTAAAATACCCTTTTACTCAAAGTGAAAATGCGCTTGCTGTAATCTGACTTCCACCAACTGACTCTGATTGCACCTGAAAACATTTCCTCACTTGAGAATGGCAGCCTGCTCTCTCCCAAAGCTCCACTAGGTTTCCACTGGGAGCTGCTACCTGGCCTCTAATTCTGGACAGACAATTCTCACTAACATTTAATAGATCTTCTAGCTCTGACCAGTAAATTTTTTTTAAGAAATTACAATTGTATTTGGGGAAAAAATTAGAACAAGTGAAGAACCTAATAAAAATGGCTGGGGGGGGGGTGATTTGGCCTTAGAATCTATTTTTATAAAAAGCACTAAAGCTTAAACGTTTAAGTTATAGTCCTACAATAGTTTAAGAATACCTTGACTTAACGCCGTTTGAGAGGCAAAACTAAAAATAATCCCCAAACTCTGCCTTTCCCTATCTTTAAAGAAAGCCACTCCAGCAAGCTGAAGCAGGCTGTATCCATTTCCAAGGACATGAGAAAAGGTGTAAGTACATACTGTACTTTGAATGCCCAACAACAACAACAAAAAAATTTTTTAACAGCAAATGCTTTGTAACAGCTCAAGTAGGATTGATAAATAAACAAGTCAGTCAAGCACTTAAATTCAAATGTTAAAGTAAAATTGGATTTGGCAGGCAACCCCGATTTTCTGACTTAAAAGAATATATACCTAGCTTAAAGTAAGGAGGCACTTTACCTTTTTGAAGCACTTGGTAAAATTGCATGTAATGCCTAGTAATGAGGTTATAAGTGATGCCTTTACTCTAAAATACACTTTGGAAAAAATAAGATCCTGACTCCTTCTCCAGGAACTTTAATACGATGTGATTAACTTAAACTTTTTTACACACATTAACCACAAAGATAACAGTGTATGTAAAACCACCTTGGTGTAACAAGTGCGCAGCAAAGGAAAATCTGTATTATGCTGTACAGTCCGGATGAGGGGTAAGGAAGGAGTTTAGCTCAACTAGAGAACCTTCGCATCGATCCTTCCACCTGTGACAGTGAGAAACTGGCAGCTTCTGGCAGCCCGCAGGGCGAACGCACAGCCGGTAAGCCTCCGCCCCGCCAGCCCCGAGCCTGACCTCCTGAGGGCCCCAGGGCCTTCTCCACCTCGGGGTAGGGACGTGCCTGCCCACACAGAGTCTCTCCTCGGGTCTGTCTGTCTGTCTCTCAGAAAGGCAAAAAGTGCGAGGCACCTCCTCTACAGGCCTCCATGCAGGCAGGAGTTCCCTACGGTTCCCTAGATTCGAACCTCCACTCCAACTCCCCCAAAACACTAGTGTCAAAGCCCCCCGCCTTGCCCCTCGGATCCGTACCTCCGTGCTCGATGGCACTGAGGTGGCAGAGCAAGAGATTATACACACCCCCGGCCCTGGTCATCCGGGGAGCCTCTCCTCGCCTAATTAAAGGCCTTGAACCTTGGGCGAGGCCAAGTTTGGGGGTACCTCCCGGCGCAGATAAGAGCTGGCCGCGCAGCGCCGCGGCCGGGCCCGGAGGCACGCAAGGCCAGGGCGCGCTGGCCCTTTAAAGGCACTCGCTTCCTGCGCCCGCGGCCCCTCCCTCGCCGTCGCCAGCTCCCGCCCCCGCCGAGGGTCACACTTGAACTTTAGCTCGCCCCGCGCGGCCGGGCGCCGGCGCTCCGCAGGCGGTGGCCGCCCCTTCGCACGTGTCGGAGGCGCTACCTCGGGATGGGCGCTCCCGGCCCCCCGCACTCGAGGCGACTTCGAATAAAATCAAAACAAAACAAAATGCACACCGGCCTCCAAAATCTGCGTGGCCATCCCCGACGGGCCTCCCGGCTCGCGCCCTGCCTGTCCCCTCCACCTGCAGCCCGGTCCCCTGGCGGCGGGGCTCTGAGGCCCCTCGTCGCGCTCTCCCCAGCCCAGCGCGGCGGAAACGGCTCCGCGGGGCGTACCGGGGCTAGGAGGACGCGCGCCGCGGGGGCGGAGGGGAGCCGCCCCTCACCCCCGAGGTCCTGGAGGAAAAGCAGCAGCTGCACGAGTCCGCGCGGGCCGTGGCGGAGCAGCTCCCAGTGAATCCCCCCTTTCCTTCCACTGGCGAACTTTTCTGCCCGCTCGGAGGTCCACTTCTTGGCGTACTTTTTTCACTCCCTTAGGTCTCAACGAGCCCATTCCCCGTCCAGCTCCAACTCTCAGCAGAGCGCGCGCAGACCCACTTATCCCGGTCCCCCGACGAGTCCGGGGCAAGCCCACGACCCACCCCTGCCGCTCCTCGCCCGCTCCCTTCACGCGCTGCCCGCGTGCTCTGCACTTTCAGGCCAAGCAAACTTGCCCAGCCGCCCCCTCACCTGCCCCACCAAGACCTCAGGAGGAGGCAGGCAGGCTGCCCGAGCCCCCCTCCCGCTCTGGCCGTTAGCCCCGAGGCCACTCACCTTCCAGCCAGCCGAGCTGTTGCTGTCGCCCTTATCCTTGAAGTAGGGAACGCTCTTGACCATCCACTCGTAGATCTGCGACAGCGTGAGCCGCTTCTCGGCCGAGCTCTCGATGGCCTTAGTGATGAGGTCGGCGTAGGACAGGTTGCCCCACGCGTTGCGGCGGGACGAGCTGCTCTTGCGCGGCTGCCCCGCTAGCGGCCCGGCGGCGGCGGGGGGCACGGGCGGGTGCTGCGACAGCGGCCCGGGCGGTGGGGGTTGCGGCGGCGCCGGGTGCAGGCAGCCCGCCTCCGGGCCCTGGAAGTCCCCGCACAGGCCCCCGG